TGTACTTGGTGGGGGGTGACGCATGCGGGCGGTGCCACTGGGGCCTTCGGTGGAGCTCCTTATGAAGCCACGCAGCGCTGTATTGGGTGGGGGTGACGCATGCGGGCGGTGCCGCTGGGGCCTTCGTTTGAGCTCCCTATGTGGCTACGAGACGCTGCGCTGGGTGGGGGTGAACCATGCGGGTGGTGTCACCGGGGCCTTCGATGAGCTCCTGATGGGGCCACGAAGCGCTGTACTGGGTGGCGGTAACGCATGCGGGCGGTAGCATTGGGGTTTCGGTGGAGCCCCCAATGGGGCCACGGAGCGTGTGAGGGGTGTGCCGAAGTGAGAGGGGGTGACGGGAGGAGGGAGGTTGGGGGGAGGAGGAAGAGGAGGAGAGGAGAGGAGAGGAGAGGAGAGGAGAGGAGAGGAGAATGCGGGGACCGTTTCTTCAAAACGAAGACCCAACACCACTGGACTGTTGGGAACCATTCGCCTCTCCTCCGTGCAACCGTTGGACATTCCAAGCCTCGAGGTCGTACGCGGTGAGGAAATCTCAGCGACGATAAGGATTTGCTCATAAGGAATACGAGCGGGCTGGCTCTCCGACGCCGCGTTTGCTTCACAGCGTGAGCCCCAAACATTTGGATCCATTCATCGGGGCCGCCTACTTGTCCCGAGTAGTTTTTCGACGGTCCTGGTGTGCCGTACGGTGGCCCCTGGAGACCGACAGTCTTCAGAAATTGTCACCGTGATTTTTTCCCACAGCGAGATCGAGAGGGGGTAAGGGAGGAGGAAGCGGACGACGAGGAGAAGGAGGAGGTTCGAGGTTTCTTGGGACGTCCTCAACATTGGTCGAACCTCTGAAGGCCTCCGCGGGGCCTCCGCGAGGCTTCCGGGGAGTGACGAGTCGCCGCCGCCGCCGCCGCCGTCGCCGCCGTCGTCGTCGTCCTCCTCCTCCTCCTCCTCCTCCTCCTCCTCCTCCTCCGCCTTCTCTCCTGAGTCTTCGAGATGCCCCCATCTTCGCTCGCTGCAGCTAAATAACTACGGGAATTCGTTTATTTCGTTTGCCATTTTCGGCCTCCAGCGCCTCTCACCAGGCCCAGGGACCGTCAACAGAAAACACAAGGGATGAAAGGCTGGTCCTGGGGAAGGAGTCCAGATCTCCGGGGGTCCACGTTGTGGAACAAAAAGACGACGTCGGAGGGCAGAGCCGCCCTCGTTTCCTGAGCCTTCGGGAGGGGCGGGGGGAAGCCCTCGTCGCCATGGCTGGATCCGCATCGAGTTCCCGGTCAGAGTGCGCCCAAGAAGAGGCCTTCGTGTCCACGTTGAGGGCCGTCGTGCCGTTGACGTCGCCGTCGTCGGCGAGCCCGCCTTTCCAGAGCCGCCCCGCCAGGCTCGCCGCAGCAGCGTCACGAGCACGCTGTCGCCAGGCCAGGGGCGTGCCGACTGTCTGAGCAGGGCGTGTTGAGAAGACAACGGCACATGGACGCGGACAATTTGTGCGTTTGGACCCCGTGAGGGGTCGGGGGACTGATGGTGAGCTGCCGCTGTCCCAACTCGCCCTGCTCCGAGACCGGGCACCCGCCACGGACATCGGGGGCGGCGAAGAGGCGGGGGTGGGTGTCATGGCCAGGGCCATGCTGTCTCTCCGGAGCGCCTGGCCCCGTCTTCTCAAAAGGGGGAGAAAAGCACAGAGACACAGTAAGCCGACGACTCCCAGGAACATATGGGCAAGCATGGGAAGTGGGGGGGGAAGACGAAAACCATTTGAAAAGATTGGGGATCCTGGGATTTATGAGCACCTGTTCGCGTGTACCTGGGACCCTTCTTATCTTCTTCTAACGCCTCCCGTGGCCCCCCTCCTCCGCGCGCACGCCTCGGGCCATGATCCTGCGAGCCCGCCTCTCGGACGCCCCCGCCCTCTTGCTGGACGCCCCCAGAAGACAGCCGACGTGTGTGCTGCCTTCGATCCGCGGCCACGGCCGGCGATTTCCCTGGGGGCAGTCTGTCGTTCCAGACCCATTGCTGATGCCCCGGGGGCAGGTCGCGCGCCCCAGAAGTGAACGTCGTTAGGAAAGCCGCCCGGCTTGAAGGCATCACATCGTCGGATCGAGATCTCCGGCGTCGTGTTCTGCCCGCCAACGTGGACCCCAGGAGTTCGGTACCCCTTACACGGTCGGAACTCGAAAGACGGGGGTCAATGCAAATGGGGTCAGTCAGAGCGCCGGCTCTTGCAGGATCCTGCAAGGCCAGGGTTGCATGGACCCGGGCTAGCGTGCAGGATCCGGCAGGATCTTGCGGGATTCTGCAAAGCTCGACTGGCCCGGGTGTGGATTGACCCAGGTCAGTAGATCACCGACACGTGACATTTTTCTGACGGTCCGAGGGCCTGGTGGGGGCCACCAGAGCTGGGCAGGAGGTAATGAGGCGTGGCCCCAAAGGGTGCTGAAGCAAAGGGCCATAAAGTGGCACTTTAGGGCCCCTTTGGGGGCCAGCAGGGGCCCAAGAGAAGCCCTACAGGGCCCCCTCAGGGCCCTTTTCTCCACCCCCCACTTAGGTCACCCTCCATTGCTACCCGCCTGACGGTCGTCGATCTGTACGACGGGAGGACTTGGACCCAGAGGTCCGACGCTCCGGGAAAATTGGAGCGGGCGCTTCTTGCCTATTTTGGTCCTCCGGGGGCCCTCGCTGGGCCTCGGGACCGTCAAAACACGCTTCACTCGGTACGAAAAACCGGCCTTGGGGACGGCCCTGTGATTCTGGTGTCGCATTTTTGTCGGCCGGATGGCGATGGGGGGATCAGGACATGGGGGGATGAGTATCCGGTACCGTTTTGTTGGGGTACAATGTGTACCTTCTCTGCGGGTTGCAAGTACAAATTGTACCTTCTCCCCCCCGTTAACATCCTCGCACATGTCTCGGACGTTGTCAAAAGTACAATTTGTACCTTGTCTGCGTGGCGTCGGTACAAATTGTACCTTCTCCGTGGGGCGTAGGTATAATTTGTACCTTGGTTGCGCCTCCCTCCCCCCCTGGACTTATCCCCCCATTTGCATCCCGCCAATTTTATTTCGAGCCGGGCGTTTTCCAATAATTTCGAGCCCCGGGACCCTTACAGATCGGTCCAGCTAGAAAAAAATGGCGCGAGAACATGGGGACCGAGGCTCCGGTCGTGGTGATAAGTGATGTTGCACTGTGTCAAGACGTCGGATCTCAGGATCTCTCGAGGCGAGAAAACAGCGACGGCGGGCTCTGTTCGCAATGTTCGGCCTCCGGGGGCCCTCGCCAGGCCCTGGGGCCGCGAGAAGAGAGCTCGCGATGAGGATCCAGTCCTGGGTCAGAATCCTAGACCCTTGTCGGTCCGCTTTTGCCCCGAGCGGTGCTTGCACTCGGGGGCTCATGCCTCGGCAGCGCACAGGAGTTGGAGGGGCATGCGGGGGGGTCGGCTGGTGCCTGGTTTAGGGGGCCGCATGCGAACCCTACCAATACCCCCCACGATTTCTGAGGGGGGGGGGGGTTCACCTCGCTCGGGCGCTCCCGAGCGAAGTACCCCCCCACCCACCCCCCCCCACCTCAGAAGTCGTCGGGGGTAATTAGGGGTAGGGTTCGCATGCGGCCCCCTATGGTTGCTGGGCTCCCGTGGGCGCCGAGGGGCCGCTCCGTGCGGAGGGGGGGGGAGGGCCGAGGCCTCGCCTGCTGCCCCCCCCGCGCGGGTGCCCGCCCGTGGCCCACGCGGACTGCACACAACGCACCGCTGCAACTCGCAGCTCGCACCTCCGAGCGCGTGCAGCGCACGGCCTGCACTGCACGGTCTGCGCCACGCAGCAGCCGACGGCACCGCGCGGCCTGCCCCGCACAGTTTTTGCACCACGTGGATGGCACCAACGTGGGAAAAAACACACACACACACACACACACACACACACACACACACACACACACACACAGCTTTTGTACCATGCACCACGCAGCTCCCTCCACACAGCATGAGCCAGCTGTGCTGCAGCACGCAGCCTGCACCGCAGGGCGTGCCCCAGCAGCAACTGTGTGGTTTGGGGTCCGCGCGGAGTGAAGTGGGTGGACGGAGCACGACGCTGGAGATCTCGGCCGCTCGGCAGGGGAGACGCCGCCCGAGTGGGAGCTGCAGCTGGACAGGCGCGAACAAGAAATCATGGCATGAAGAGGAGGAGGAGGAGGAGGGGGGAGGAGGAGAGGGAGGAGGGAGGGGAGGAGGGAGGGAGGAGGACGGGAGGAGGAGGGGAGGCGGAGGAGGAGGCGGAAGAGGAGGAGAAGGAGGGGGAGGAGGCGGAGGAGGGGGAGGAGGGGGAGGAGGAGGGAGGAGGGGGAGGAGGAGGAGGAGGAGGGGGAGGATGGCACGAACACGGACCTCGCTGCGGAGCTCCGCGCGGCTCTCCTGGATCTGCGACGGGCCCCCGCCGGCGGCGCCCCGGGGCGCAGGCCCCCGCCCGCTCGAGCCCGCCGGGCGGGGGTGCCCCGCGCCGGGGCAGGCAGTCCGCGCGGACCTCCGACGGTTTTTTGCACGCCTGTGCCGCTCGCAGACGTGCACCGATCTGGTGATCTCCATCCGCGGCCCCACAGCTTCCGGCCCCTTCCCCAGAGATCGAACGCACCCTCCAAAAAGTCACGGCGGAGGTTTTCGCTATTTTTGATCTCTAGGGGCCCTCGCCGGGCCCCAGGACCGTCAAAATACGACTCAGGGTGAAAAACCGGTCCTGGGGAAGGGGTCGAGACTTCCGGGGGCCCCGGATTGAAAAAATCACGACATCGGATCTCTGGGTCCCCGGGTGTACAGTGGAGACGCATGCCAAGAAGCACCCTGCCTGCCTCCAGGGTGCCCTGGGTTTCTTGGGCTTCGGTGGTCTTCCGATGGAAGCAGCGTGACGTTCCCACACCAACAGATCAATGGACGTCATGGGGTCTCGGGGTTGGGTTCCTTGTGGAAGGTTCCTTGTGGACTGGCCTCCACTGTAGTGCTTTTGCCCCGGATCCAGCGTTTGATGTTCCAGGGGCCCGACGCCGCGCCCCAGGGGCCGAGCTCCGGGAGAGCCGCCAGGGCCGACGAGAGAGTGCCTCGTCGGAGGGTTGTGGGCTCGTGCTTCGGAAGGGGGCGTGGCGACGTCCTCGGGGCGGGCCTGGGGAACACGGACAAGGGCGCGGTCATCGTCGACATCCAGGACCCGCGGGGCGGAGGCGATGATGGCGATGACGACCTTCATCGTCATCGCCATGGTCATCGTCATCACCGTCGTGATCTGGCGCGGTCATCTTCGAGTATGTTTGGCTACTTTTTTAATGTTCGTCGAAGCTCTGCCTGTAGGAGGCCATGCCCGACCTAATAGACCCAATAACATGGGCCCCTGGCAGTCCTAGAAGCTGGCACGAGAGTCGAGGGCGGCCACAGCTCTCGTGGGGCCGTTGCCCTTCTGCCCTTCGCGCTTGGGCCCCTCGCCTCGTAATTATCGGCGGCGGGCCTCTGCGGCGGAAGCGAGAAGGGGCGGGCCCTTAGTGGGCCCCGGAAACGACAGGGCCGTTTTTCTACCGGTTCCGTTTTGCCGTTTTTTTGCCGGTTCCGACGCCGTTTCTTTACGGGTTCCCGCTCCGGTTCCACTCCTGGAGCAGTTTTTGTTGCCGTTTCCGGTCGCCGTGTTTTTGCCGTTGCCATTTGCCAGGGACGTTTTTTTTCGGAAACGGTGAAACAACGGCCCTGCCGTTTCCGGGGCCCACTAAGGCGGCGAGCCGTCTCCGAGGTTCGGCAGTCGCCTTGCCTTCCGAGAAATTGCCTGTGCCTTCCCCGCAGATGCAGGAAGGTCTTCGTAAAGAAGGCGCGAGGACTTCTGAGAAGGCCCGCCGCCTTCTGAGAAGGCGTCATCATTCTCGCTTCCCCCCCTCGCTCGCCGCCGATTGTAGCGCCCTTCGTTGCGTGGTATCTCCAGGGTCAAGCAGTGGCCCACCAGAGAATGTTCTAAGAACCGCTTATGGTCTGCACGACATGTCTTTCGAACACTTCTGGCTGAGACTGCCTTGTTTTGGAGCGTCGGGCTTCTTCAAGGGCAGACCAAAACGCCCCTACCCTGGTTTACGGGGCGCTGTGCGCTGAAATTCCTGTGGGCCGACAGGCTGAGCCCTGCGTGATGTGCCGCGCCCTGGCGGCTCTAGGCCCCGGGGGTTCTCGGGAGGTTTACAGACCACGCACTTGTAACCCAGGGTAGGATCGTTTTTTCATCCCTCAATTTCTTCGGGGGAGCGTAAGACCCGGGTTTGCCAGGACTCGGGTTCGCCATCGTTTTTTGACGACCGCGCCTCGGATTTTGACGAGGAGGAGTTTCGTGGTATGTCTGCAGCGGGAGGCCTCGTCAAAATGCAGGCTCGGCCTCGTCATTTTTTTGACGACCTCGTCGGGGATTTCCGAGTCCCCCGTACCCGGGTCTTACGTCTCCCCGATTTCTGTTCTAAGAACTGTTTTTGCTCTTCGAACAGGCTCTAAAACCATGTCGCGGTAGGCCTCCAGGAAAGCCGGGACGGCCCGCCCCTGCTCCACAGGGGGCGCGCGGCCTTCGGCGAGGGGCCCTCGGGCGCTCGCCCTCCCGCGCTCTCTCGTGGGCGCGCGGCGGCCGTCGTCGTCGTCGTCGTCGTCGTCGTCGTCGTCGTCGTCGTAGTCGTCGTTGTCGTCTACGGCGTCGTCGTCGTCGTCGTCGTCCCTGGCGCCCCCGGTGGAACCGCGCGCTCGCTTCGCCTCGCCTCGCCCCCCCCCGCCTGGGGCGGCGCCGAGCAACAACACAAAATGAAGAGAACAAAGCGGAGCTGAGCCCATCACATTACTTGGGCAACGGTGAGCGATGATAGTAACACGTCTGCCTAACAGGTTCGGTTCGGACGGGCGTCGCCCAGGGGGGGGGGCGCAGCGTACCAGTAGTGATGTCTTTCTGCCCCCCCCACCCCCCTTCCGCCGCCTTTCCAGGCAGCCGCTGGGCCGAAGCGGCGTGCAAGCCAGCACCGACTCACGTCACGACGAGGCGTCCTTTTTCTTGCCTCGCCACGCCCAAACCTGGGCGGGGCGGAGCTATCAGGCCCTCGCGCGTGGAGTGCTTCGGGAGGAGAATGCAAACAGGCCCCCCCTCCTTCTCCTCCTCCTCCTCCTCCTCCTCCTCCTCCTCCTCTTCCTCCTCCTCCTCCTCCTCCTTCTCCTCCTCCTCCTCCTCCTCCTCCTCCTCCCTCTCCTAATCCTCCTCCTCCTCCTCCTCCTCTTTTTCTTCTTCTTCTTCTTCTTCCTTCTCCTCGCCCCTCGGCGATCACTGGGCGATGGGGGGTCGATTTTCTTCCCCCCCGCCCTCGACGCCCCAACCCGTCGGAGTCTGAAGCATGACGGCCCCCAAGGAGCACGGGCTGTTCGACCTCTGGAACAGGTCGCCGCTGTACTCCAAATGGGGGCCCTCACGGGGGGGGGGGGGGCTCGCCGAGGAGGAGGAGGAGGAGGATGAGGCGGAGGAGGAGGAGGAGAGGAGGAGAAGAGGAGGAGGAGGAGGAGGAGGAGGATCGATCAGGCTTTCCGTTGCTTTTTTGGGGGGTGGGGGAGGGGGTACATGGGTCCCGGTGGGACCTGCCCCGTCGAGAAGCTGGCGACCACTCTGGTGGCGACCCCCCCCCCCGGCCACTTTCCTGGGCCGTGGAGCGGCGGCGGGCGCGGGGGGGGAGGGGAAGCGAGGCGGAAGAGGCCCTCTCAGCGCAGGCGGCGGGGCCTCTCAGAGGCCCCCTTTGCCTGCTGGAGGAGCCTGCGGCGTCTTCGGAGGGCGGCCTCAAGCACCGCTCAGAGGGCCGGGGGGGGGGGGAAACGTGCGAGCCGCCCTGAGAAGGGCTTCGCCCCTGCTCTCGCTTCCCCCCATGGGCGCGCCGCCGAAGGGAGGAGAGGTCCTGAGGGGAAGCGGGCCCTGGCCGACGATCGGGCCGGACGAAAGGGGGGGGGGGGCATTGGGAAAGGGGGGGATGCGCAATTTGCTGCATGCAGCTGGTTTCGGCCTCACCGAGGGGCCCATTCCTCGATACGTCGCCGCCTCCGGCGCCGGGAGGCGCCGGGGAATTCAGCCACGCGAGCTGCTTCTCAAACCCCCCCCTTGGCTATCCCCCTCTTTCGCCCGACCCGAGGCAAGAAGACGCAACGGCCCAAGCAGGCACTTTCGGAGGTCGGCGCGGACCCCTTGGGCCGCACCTCCGGCGCCGCTCCTGGCGCGCTCGGCCGCGCCAGGGGGGAGGGTTCCTTCGCGGGGCTCTGGAAGTTGGCAGTGGAGCATCGGAGTCCGAATCTTGTGATGCTCCAACCCTTAGCGGGCCCTGGAAACGACAGGGCCGTTTTTTTTACCGGTTCCGTTTTGCCGTGGTTTTGCCGGTTCCAACGCCGTTTTTTCACCGGTGTCGTCGCCGTTGTTTGACCGGTTCTGTCTCCGGTTCCAATCCTGGAGCCGTCTTTTTGCCGTTTCCGGTCGCCGTTTTTTTGTTGTTCCCATTTTCAATGGACATTTTTTTGGAAACGGTGAAAAAACGGCCCTGCCGTTTCCGGGGAGCTCCAACTTTACTTTGGCCTTGATCACCAGGAAGAATTTCGAGCACCAGAAAAAGTGTCGGAACTCAAGGGTTTTCACGCGTCGGGCCCTGGGAGACATTCGCCCGACACGGTTTCGACACTGCTTCGGGACTCCTTTGGCACTGTTCTGGGTGCTCGAAATTATTTCTGGGATGCGGTCCTTAAGTAGGATGGGACCAACGTAATCCGAATCGTCCTCCCGGAAGGCTGGGCCGGCGTGTCCGAAGCATGTTGCCGGGACGGTGACCCATGTTCTTGGGCACGTTTGCCCCTCCAGCGTTTCCAGCAGGAGTTGGCCCAGGACTGTTTCAAGAGGCTTCGGGACTTCGGGAAGCAGGCCCAGGCTTGCTCAGACGATCACTACCTGGCTCATCTTGCCGGCTGCATGTCTTCGTAAGGCGTCAGTTTCGGGCTCCTGGGGTTCTGGGCAAAAAGAAACAGCGCGGGATGACGAGGTGGCCCTCGGGATAGTCCCCTGGGGGGTCCAGCACCCGCCTCCCTCGGGACCCGCTTCCATACTTTTTTTGATCGCAAGCGCACCGGAGGGGGAAGAGAGAGGCAACGAGAGGACAGCGGAGGGAGGAAACCCGCTTCCATACACGCGGCGATCCGTTTTTTTGTTCCGGGCGCCCCTCTCCGACCCCACGTCGGTGGGCGGCTCTTCGCCCGGGGCCCGCTCTTCCCTGCCTCGGGAGCCGACAGCGAGGCCCAGAGGCCGAACTCGAGGCAGCTTTTTCGTCGGCGGCGAGGCACCGGCAGTCCGCACCGTCGTATCGGGCTGATCGGGGCCACCGCCCGGGAACTTGCCCGGCGTGCAATACGCGGACAATAGTTATATCCAATCCAGTGCGTCTTGGAGTCTTGGGCTCTCTTCCCCAAAAACCGTAGACGCACTGGATATGGATAAAAATCTGGCCCCAAGAGGCTTGATTTTATCCATATCCAGTGCGCCTCGGCGTTGCGGCACCTCTTCCCGAAAAGTCCAAGACGCTCTGGATATGGATAGAAGTACTGCCCGCACAAGAGGGAGAGACGAAGACAAGGGCGGCCGGGCGAGGGGAAGCTCGAGGAGGCACGGCCCGACTGAGAAAGCCATAGCGCCGGGGAGCTGGCCATCTGTCGGTGCCCAAATCCGGGGGCTACGTACTGCTTGGCATCGCTCGGGCGTGTGCATTTTTCCTTCGGCGAGGGCCATCGAGGAGCATCCTTGACCATTTGGCGAGAAAAACCACGCACGAAACCGAAAAAACACAGGGAATGGACGTCCGAGCGATGGCGAGATTGGGGGTGCGATAATATATGGGGGGGGTGAAGAGAGGGGCATCTCTCCTGCCCTGGAGGAGCTCCAAAGGCCCCCCCCCCACCGGGGCCCAGAAGGGGCACGAAAGGTGCACGATTCTCCACCCGCCCATCTGTCGCCCC